AAAGTCCCATTCTGAGGGGGGAAAGACTATTTTCTTAAAACTGCGAGTTTATATCTCGCAATTATGACTTTTTTTTATTTTCTTATATCGCAATTTTGAGAAAAAGTCAGAAACCTTTATTATTATTTTTTTTATTCAGTGGCGGAAACGGCCTTCCATACTTAACGCACATAGATATTTATAACCTTACCTTGAATGACTGGTGTCTGTTCGAAACAAGTCGTAGTAGTCTGGGTTTTGAATTGAAGATGTTGATAATTTCATCATAATCCAAATTGTCTGTTAGTACAGATGGCTGTTCTAGTCATTTTTACGATAAACATTTGAGGGAGCCACTAACGTTACCTGACAGAACTTTGGGCGCGAAAAATTTAACGTAACTTACTGGCGTAACGACACTAATTAGCATATTACTATTATTATTATTATTATTATTATTACATAGTTCTAATGAAACACGACAACGCAGATTACATTTAAAGTAGTTAATGCAGAATTTAAACGCCAATTTTTTTTTTTTTTTAATGTATTTCCCATAGACTGTATAAAAACAGGTATTTCCATAGATCTGACTGGATGGGCAAGCTGTCAATCAGACCCACCCGTAGCCCCGCCCCTCGCTTTATAATGAAATATTCCATATGAATTATTATGAAACTTAAATTAAATGCAAAGTAAATTGTATGTCCCAGAACTGACTTTAAAGAATTCAAGTTACGAAAATAAAAGGTGAAACTGAAACACAGTGCTTAGTTTTAACGTGTGTTAATGGCAGAGAGGATTCACACTTCACTAATTAATCATTCATCAGTCTTCTAGAGTGTCACTTAAACACACAGTTACCACAGAAAACTAATGACTCATTACACACAATATAAAGAATATGCGCCATAACAATACAGTAAACCATATCATACACTTAATAAAACTATAACAGACGTATAACACACTTATAAACTGGAGTTTGGCTCTAAAGGAGGTTCACAGTCACTTACAGGAACAAACACAGAGTTTCCACTGGGGTCCCCGGATGATGCTCCGATATTCCTGCTTTAGAATCATGTCGTAAATTCTGAGCTTATCTGTGTGTAAACACTAAACAGGTGAGCAGACAGACAGGTGTCTCTCTCTCCGCACACCTGAGCAGGTGCTGATCACACCGTTTACATCCGTCGCCATGGAAACTCCATCAGTGACGTTTCCAAGATGGTAACCGCTTTCTTCTGTGAGCATCTACATTTTATTATCATTTACCTACAATTATAAATGTGAGCCTGGAGCACAAAAGCAGTCTTAAGTCGCTGGGGGGGGTATTGCAAAAAGATGAGCAATACCCTTTAAACCTTCTTATAGTCGTTTACACGATTAACCACGATGAACTGTTATCATCTGGTTTATTTTTTGACAACTCTTTTAAACTACAGTACCCATAATGCGCAGCGGCTCTTCCCGCCGTCATCAGGTGGGTGGAGCCGCGCGGCAGCCAATGAGAAGCGGGCGGGATATTCAAACCGTAAACAACTGACAGGCGGGAGCGTTCGTGTTTTCAGGCGTCGTTTATCAGTAAATTATTAATCAGAGCCGAATGAGAGTTTAATCCTAGATATCGATATAGATGCATTAGATATTTATTGAACACTACAGAGCGAGAGCGTCACTAATTCGCGGCTTCAGACAGAAACGGTTTGATAAGAAGTACATCGCGTCGCTTGTCAGAGATCAGCGCGTGCGTTTGTATTAATCTATGATCAGATATTTCAGATATTGACAACACAGAGATGGGGGACGGTGTTCAGGTCCGGTCTGGCTGTAAGTAAAAAAGAACAAAAAGAACAAATTTCACCGAGTGTGTGTGTACCTATTTAACGTGTGTGTGTGTGTACCTATTTAACCATATTTTGGGGACAAATTGTACCCAAAAGTGAGGTTAACCTGACAAAATCTCCAATAACTTCCCTTTGGGGGCATCCTCATTTGTAAAACTGGTATAAAAATAAAGTAAACAAAGTTTTTTTTAATTAACTTGTAAAAATGCAGACAGTTTTCTGTGAGGGGTAGGGTTAGCTTATTAAAACTATAACTGTCTATATATATATATATATATATATATATATATATATATTAAAAAAAAACAATAGAAGTCTGTGTAATGTCCCCATTTTGTGTGTGTGTGTGTGTGTGTATGTGTGTGATTGCCATGTTAAATGTGTTTGAGATTTAATGTTAAACATGTCTGAGGTTTTGTATTGAATGTGACTGAGGTTTATGTTGGTGTTGAATGTGATTGAGGTTTTGTATTGAGGTCAAATGTGGTTTTTGTTCACTGCTGATGTTGGTTTCAGATGAGCGTCTGACCGCAGAGGAGATGGATGAACAGAGGATTCAGAATGTGGCTTATCAATACCTGTGCCGTCTGGAGGAGGCCAAGAGGTGCAAAACACACACACACTCACTCACTCACTCACACATACACACTCACTCTCTCTCTCACACTCACACACACACTCTCTCTCTCACACTCACACACACACTCTCTCTCTCACACTCACACACACACTCTCTCTCTCACACTCACACACACTCTCTCTCTCACACTCACACACACTCTCTCTCTCACACTCACACACACTCTCTCTCTCACACTCACACACACTCTCTCTCTCACACTCACACACACTCTCTCTCTCACACTCACACACACTCTCTCTCTCACACTCACACACACTCTCTCTCTCACACTCACACACACTCTCTCTCTCACACTCACACACACTCTCTCTCTCACACTCACACACACTCTCTCTCTCACACTCACACACACTCTCTCTCTCACACTCACACACACTCTCTCTCTCACACTCACACACACTCTCTCTCTCACACTCACACACACTCTCTCTCTCACACTCACACACACTCTCTCTCTCACACTCACACACACTCTCTCTCTCACACTCACACACACTCTCTCTCTCACACTCACACACACTCTCTCTCTCACACTCACACACACTCTCTCTCTCACACTCACACACACTCTCTCTCTCACACTCACACACACTCTCTCTCTCACACTCACACACACTCTCTCTCTCACACTCACACACACTCTCTCTCTCACACTCACACACACTCTCTCTCTCACACTCACACACACTCTCTCTCTCACACTCACACACACTCTCTCTCTCACACTCACACACACTCTCTCTCTCACACTCACACACACTCTCTCTCTCACACTCACACACACTCTCTCTCTCACACTCACACACACTCTCTCTCTCACACTCACACACACTCTCTCTCTCACACTCACACACACTCTCTCTCTCACACTCACACACACTCTCTCTCTCACACTCACACACACTCTCTCTCTCACACTCACACACACTCTCTCTCTCACACTCACACACACTCTCTCTCTCACACTCACACACACTCTCTCTCTCACACTCACACACACTCTCTCTCTCACACTCACACACACTCTCTCTCTCACACTCACACACACAGTATGTGGAAAATAATGTGTTTTTTTAACTTTAAACCGCATAAACACATTTCATTACACCAAATACACAAAATAATGTTCTTTTTAGCAGCATCATATGACCCCTTTAAGTCCCCACCAGGATATATAAACCTGTACACACTCTCTCACACTCACACACACACACTCTCTCACACTCACACGCGCACACACTCACACACACTCTCTCACACACACACACACTCTCTCTCTCTCACTCACACACACACTCTCACACACTC